TTTCAAGCCTTCTATGCAACTGCTGAAATAATTTAGCCTCAAATTAGAGTAAGCAAGAATTACTATCCTGCGGCTTTGCAGTCTCTTGCGAAATATAGCTGCACTTTTCAGATTCGGGAATCTTCGGCTTGTATTTCCTACGCCCCTACTATACTTGGGACCGAATCGAATGATTATTCGATTATTCGAATAAATCATTCGAATGCGAATGATTCGAAAAGTCGAATATTCGAAAATCTGAGATTTCGAATAAAATTCGAAAGTCGAATATTCGAAATTTTCAGTTTTCGAATATATTCGATAGTCGAATATTCGAAAATCTTCATTTTCGAATATTATTCGAAAGTCGAATATTCGAAAATCTTAAATTTCGAATGTTATTCGATAGTCGAATATTCGAAGGTCATTCATTCGATCATTCGATGTCCATCAAATATTAGAATATTCGTCGAGCACCGAATATTCGAAAATTCGATAAGAATTGACTATTCGAGGATTCGATAAGCAACGAATATTCGAGAATTCGATATGCATAGCGTATACGGGGTGTCTTAAAAGTATCTACACACCGTTTGATCGCTAATACCTCTCAAAGTCTTTTGCCAATTTCTGGGTGACATCCAGTAGGGATAGCTTCAGCTTACAAAAACAGCAGAAAGCGAATCACCCATGTTTTTCTTATTGTGTGTTATCACAGTAGGAAACTCCAGCTTATAGACCAACTGCAAAATAAGACATCCAAAATAGTCTCCAAAAAAGGTCTAAAATCTGCGCAGCAGTATTTTTACGTATGCTGATTCTACTACGCACGAGTTTTCAAGCTTTTCAAATGGCGATCATATTTTTGAAAGGCGTCGCAAAACACTTGTTACGGTGTATCGTTTGTTCCCTAGCAAAATTTCCATAGGTACCACGTTATGTCGCTGCCCTTCGCTATTTTGAACGTGTTAACCTCGGCACTTCCGTTGAAAACTCAGGAGAAACGTGTCAAAAAGCGAAAGGAAGCGTCGCACCACGTACGCAGCTGACTCACGTGGGAACTTTTCTGGGGGACACAGGATACCTGGCGTAAGTTTTGGAAAAAGCATTACGGTTGAGTGCAAATTCTACCTAAAGTGAGTGTCTTTAGAAACCTAAAGCAAGACTTTCAGCCCTTTTGTTTCTTTTTCTAGGGGAAATGGCTCTTGGTGTTTTGAAATCCACTTCAGTCTTACGGTAATTTTACAATAGTGAAAAGCGATTGATAAATCGCCCCATACTCTAAGTTGGTGTCAGCCTACAGACCTACCGTCTGCACCCCAGAGAGGTTCCCATGTGAACCAGCGTGCGTACGTGGTGCGACGCTGCCTTTCGCTCTTTTTGACATGTTTCTCCTGAGATTTCAACGGAAGTGCCCGAGGTTAACATGTTCAAAAGTGCGAAAGGCAGCGAGATGACGTGGTACCTATGGGAACCTCTCTGGGGCGCAGACGATACATACTGTTGGGACCGCTGTCTATCCAATCGCGACTCTCAATGAGGATACATAATCTCCTTTAAAATACGAAAAATCTTTTCACAACCGTCATAGGAGTAGCTTGGTTCCTAAGTCCCATCACGTCACGACTAAACCGTTTTTCCATCGTAAAATGTACCATAAGAATGTGTCCATTCTTAGCACTTACATGAAACAATTTATTCTTAGCGTTTTGGCCTTTCATAGGCAGTCTCAATGATGTAAATTATTCGGTCAGTATTTGAAAATCGAATGAAATTCGAAAATCGAATAACATTCGAGAACCGAATAATATTCGAAATTCGAACAACGAATGATATTCGATGTTCGAATATTATTCGATTCGAAGTTTTCATTTTCGAATAATATTCGATAGTCGAATATTCGAAATTTCCGATTTTCGAATAATATTCGAAAGTCGAATATTCGAAATTTTCAATTTTCGAATAATATTCGATAATCGAATATTCGAAACTTTCAATTTTCGAATATATTCGATATTCGAATATTCGAAAAAAATTTCGAATTTCCCCAAGTATAGCCCCTACCATATTTAGCTTTCTGCGGAGACTAGCCGTTTTCTCATGTTTGTTTTGATTTTCTTTGTCTTTTTGATCTGCACCATGATTGTATTGGATGAGATGAGGTATGACCACTGAAATCTTAAAAATTTACAGAACTTCGAACAGCGCAAACAAAACCAGAATTTCATAACATCCACTTCTTTGGTCAGGAGCCCAGCGCCAGTGCATTCTCCTAAAACATAGCTGCTGTATGTGACAGAAATTGTTTGCATGTTACACGGTAAGTCTTTTTTTTTCGAAACTATTATACCGAGAAATTTATGCGAAGATGGATAGTGCGACCATAGTATGTTCGAAAAGATTGCTCCGGGAAAGGCAATCGGTAAAGTCCTGAGCGAACGTCAAGGTAGGACATGTCAACTCGTTTAGCAGAAACATTTGTTCAGCACACAAAGAACAGAAAACTTTTTGAGAATCTCACAAGGGAGGTCGAATCAGTCGAAGTGGCCTTTCCAAATGGGTCATATACCATTTTGAAGAGCGTTGAACGCTGATTCCGAATCTGCCTTCATTATCTGCCGAGCACTTCTGGACGTCGAGTTATAAAATTTTTTTGGAGCGAAAAATGAACTCAGAATTCAAGTAAAATTAACTATTACGGACTTTTCAGCGCCTAAATAGAGCAACATGTAGTATGAGTGTTCTGGACAGAAGGTATCCTTTGTAATGGAGTGCTCTGATAACCAACTTCGGACCATTTGAGCAATTCTGACGAATTTTGCTCTAATTACGCATTAAATTTTTCAACCAAAGGAACGCTCATAACTCGGCGTCCAGAGGCGCTCGGCAGATAACGAAGACAGATTCGGAATCAGCGTTGCATGCTCTATAAAATAGTATGCATTTCGTTTGGAAACGCCACTTCGACCAAGTATCCTTCCCTTGTCAGAGCCTACTGCAAAAAACGAAAGAGCTGGCAATTTAGACATTTATTGTTTTTTTTATTTCGCGTTTCTTCTTCGTCCGAGTTCTTTTCGCAGTTGCACTACTGGCTTGCACATAAACGATAAGCTAATCAGTAGTCATACACATGAAGCTTGAAGAGCTTGAAAAGATATTCTTTTACTTTCCAATCCATGGTTTTACTGGCTTGTGATACCATGCAGGTAAGTGTGTACTGATGAATTGCAAATTCAATACTTCCAACAATCTACTGCACTTACGAATTCAGAGTTTTGACATGGTAATAGCTCGGCAGTAAACTTCGCGATACAAGCATTACCTTCGTAATGACCTAATGGGGTTCTTTTTTACCGAAGAAACGAAGTATTCAGGACATCTTGTTGCTGACTAGTAGGCGAGTTCTCTTTTTTTTTCATCTAGCATTTTTTTCAACAGTTAATGACGATAAATAACTCAGTTGTCCAGAGATTACTTGTTCAGAAATTGAAGCTAAAGTTTTTCAACAGTAAGTTTCATGATTACCGAAAAGCCAAAACATTCCGTCATTCAGATATTTCTCCTTCAAAATGTAGAACCTGCTGCTAGTAAGCAGTTCCCTAGTTTTCCATGCAGATGCATAAATAGATCTATCTATCGCTTAATTAGTTGCGTCATAAACATTATGCGACTATCTATGTGGGTGAAGAACATGATTTCCACAGTCACGGAAGATGATAAATTGTTACAGTCTTAGGTAAACAGCGGCGCTGACATCAGCACGTTGATGTAGTAAACACCTCCGAACGGCGAAAGGGAGTAACTAATCAAGCAAATAAAACGACGGTTTACTGGTTCAGTTAGAAGTAAACGCACCACTGTATATGAAGATTTTCAAACATACTGATTTTTCGTGAATTTGAGTACTCTGAGGAAAGGAAATCTCTATACTGCCACACACTTTGAATAGGCTCCGACTCTCCTGCGTATATCCGAAGCACATTAATCCAAACAAATTTCCTTTTTCCCAAGCTATAGCAGGAAAAACAGAGCACTCGTATGGATCCGCATCGATAGTTAAGATTGACTTCGAGAACCGTGGTCAGAGCCGTTGAAGAAATTACGCCGATCTCACTTTTACTGGTTGTGTATTAGAAAAAAATTTACAAGTCAGGATGGGTGTGAGTTTGTAAGTCCCATATTTGATAAGATAGACAAATTTTCGAATGAGCATGATCTACGCAGGAATTCACATCAGAGCAATTTTTTCTGCTAAAAAAACTTTTTTTCATGTCGCAAAACTATTGCCAATGGAGGTTAAAACTGCTTTTCCATTTGTCTTAACCGGCTGATGCTCAATAATTTGAGCTCTACCAAAAGGTTTCGAGAGCGATTTGTTTCCTTCTCTGCAGCCCTTGAGTCAAATTGTATTCGGTATTTCAGTCACTCAGTAAATACCAGGGAAACCTCGATTTTCATTTAATTTCCAATAGAATGAGAAAAACTTTCGGCCGGAACCCGCTCGAGGATAGGTCAAGATTAAGCGATTTGTGGACAAAACACGCTTGTAAATACATTTGCTTTGACCAACCTTCAGTTTGTGCGTTTGAAACAGTGAAAGCCGGACGGACCTTAAATACCCTTCAGCTAGCTAACCCATTCCCTGCAATGACGTCGTAACCGCCATCAACGGATGGCCAGCTACTGCTTTTATTTGTCGTGGGGAGCTTTGCCTTCGATTTTGCAGGAAGAGGCTATCGATCCAGCGTCTCTCGCGCTGCCCGCCACCGTGGGTGTGGCTGAGCGGCTTGCACTATTTCAAGTCACTTTCGTACTTACTCGTTGAATTTCTCGATTTTGTTTTTGCGAATTTCTTCCTCCCTGCTGTGATTTTCCGCAAGTGATAAATGCTGCTCAAATCCGTCAACCAGCCAGCTACAAAACTGCATTGGTAGCTCCCTGACTGATGGCAGTTGTTGACTGCAACTTAGTTTATCCAAGTGACTGTTACCTTTGCGTAGATCGTGGCGGCGCAAGCAGCTGGGCAATGGCGGGCGCTAGCAATCTGCGCGCCACTATCTTGTTTACCGCTCGCGGCTTGTTTTGCCCCACTGCGCCCTCCCCCCTAGCGCACTACGGCTGAAAAACCCGCCCAGTCGAGCACCCCTGCCATGGAATTCACTTCGTCTCACAAGTACCACACTGACTCTGTACAAGGCATGCCGCAACCCAATATGCCCGGAGGTCTTTACGATGAAACTAGTAAGTTTGCGAACCGCATTTGTTGTGGAATTCAGTGCGTTGTACGTTGTCTCACTTCTTAGTACAAGTAGATACTTCAGTAAACGTGGGTAATATCTCTGTCGTAGGTGAAATGAAAACTCGACATCGTATAGTATAGCCCTTGTGGATTTATGGAAGCTTTGACTGCCGCTGTCGTTTGCGTCATAGTCAGTCGATACTCTCCGCTGCGCTTATTTACGCTCCTTCTCTTCTAGTGGATGGAGAAGGCCCCGATAGGGGATAGCGCGTTATTTTCGAAGACAGGGCACTGGTATTTGGCTCTGGGTAGCGCTAGAAATGAATCAAAGATTAATTATCCCAATTTTACACGGGCTATCACTAGTGAGATTTGACGAACTTCGGGAATTTGTGGTCAGACGAGGTGTCTTCCAGTTAACACCTCAATTCAGTCAGCACCTCTCCTAAGCCAGTGGAACCAAATTTTATAGCAAAGTCTTGCCGCACTTTCGTGAACCCTGTTTTGGAAGGAGATACAAAGGTCTCTGTTGTCTGCTAAATAGCGAAATAGAAAACAAAGGCCGTTTACCCTGACAGGTTACATGTAGATGTTATTGCAAGATAAGACTGGTGCTATTGGCATCTATGCGCAGTTTGACATTCGTGTAGGGTTTTTGATATGTGTGCAACTACACATTTTCTAGAAGTGAAGATGGGACATACCTCTCTCACGTAATAAGTAAAGGCAGTATCGTGCATCCCCCAGAAAATTGTTCCTATAGGAACCATCAACGTGGCTGCCTTTCGATCGTTTGGACACGTTAACTCCAGCAAATTCAAAGCTCTTCTTCCAAACAGACATGTTAAAATGATCAGAAGACAGCCACGTTGCCGGTTCATATGGAAACAATTCGGGGGATGCACCATTGCTCGCGCTTTTGACATTATTGTGCCCAAGCAAAGCAGAGAATGCGTGTCAAATGCGCAATTTTTATTTCCAGATGTACGCACACTTTTAGTGTTTATTAATTTCTAGAAGCCTGAGGATCTCTATTGATCAAAAATAAATTCAAGACGTAAATGATGGTAGTTGAAAACCTGAAGATGCAGTTAATAGCATTTTTGTGACCGGTCAATTTTACACCAAAAAAAGGACAAATTCAGCAAGTGGTAATCTTAGAGGGTTAGTAAGCTAGCAAACTATGTCTGATATTCTTGAAAGATTTGCGTAGCTCTAAACTGGGCCGTTATTTTGGTGACCTTTGGAGAAAGCGCTCCTCTTGACCGTCTCCCCAAAGCAAGATCTGTCCCATGCCTAATTGTGAAGAATGTGCGATTGTACCATTCGCAAGTAAACCTACTTACTGTACAAAAATATCACTCTCTTGTGGCACTTTTTGCGTGCCTAGGATTACTTTAATTTACTTTTTGATGGAAAAAATAACTGTGGATGGCACATATGCATTTTCGACAAACTACTCGGAGCATTGCGATCTGTTGAGCGTGTTGTAAACACATGGCCTCGTGCGGCCGTTAGTGCATCAGAGATCAGGCCGACTATAGGGCGCTGCGTTCACCGCATCTTATCCCGCGCCATGGGAGAAACGGAATTCTCTCGCTAATATGTGCAACTTCCGCTTATCGGGGACCAGCAGCATCAGTGAATTTTCATATGATGGAGGGATCAGCAAGACCCCCTCGTCAATTTATTGCTGGTATTCGCGCGAAAGGTACTAGCAAACATCTAATGAACCTGCGTTTTGTCACTTCGATTAGAAACGTCTTCTGTTTGCGATCAGCTGATCAGTCAAAGCGTAGACGTAAACAACGTGTTTTCGCTGCCGATCTCTGCTACAGCGAACGTTACCGCTGTGACGAGTGCAGGTCATAGTCCAGCCATCTGTGCTCAATCGATTGCCCCTCTCACCCTGTTTCTCGTTTGTTTGTTCCTTCAACTGGAACACACATGCGGTGCGTGTTGCTGCGGCGCAGGTGCATTTGCTCGTTTTGATCCGGCGCGGTCGGGTGGAGGACATTAGGTCGCCGTATTTGGAAGAGTCCCGCGCGGATTCCCTGCAGGAACGCATGTCCGCGCATGTACAAGGGTGCGTATTTGTCGCAAATGACCGCGGGGACCGCCCTTTTTCGGCGACCTAATGTCCTCCACCCGGCGCGGTCTCAAAGGGAGGGAAAAACTCATGCACTCAGCTTGCACCACAGATGCGACGAAGATGCTAAAAAAGCGAGGGGACGCAGTCCATCGATTCTCGGAGGGTGTACCCATATTAGCTCCTAGAACAGGCTTTACAGTAAACACACACTAGGAAATGGTATCCAAATTGGCTTTTCCAAATGAGATCACATCTTGAGGACATTATGCTGATTTCAAAAGTATCTCCAAGACATAGTGCTCTCATTGTTAGTCAATAGTTTTGAAAAGTCGCACTTTCCAGTGCAGTTGTTACTAGGTGTAGAGATGGTCATGATGCATTACCACTGAAAGTATCCCCCCCCCCGAGAATGGGTCGCGAAATTTTTGAAACTTACCTATATGGGTTGTAAAAATGTGCAAACGACTTGTTTGCACTTAAAAATAATTAAAATAATTTTTAAAATTTTTAAAAAATTCGTTTTAGCCTTATAAAAAAAATTTTTTCGGGGGCGTGGCTGACGCCACGCCCCCTTTTTTCAGACTTTAGGGGTCGGGGACCCGCAAAAATTTTGAGAAGCACCCCAAAAATTTTTTCGGAGTGCGTGGCTGACGCCACGCACCTTCTTTAGAAAAAAATTTTTGTCGCGCCCCCCCCCCCTTCCCCCGAAAAAAAATTTCTCGGACCGCCACTGCTTGACAGTTATGTCGACTCTATTGGAACTCGGAAGACGCATGTTTGTTTCCACTTCAGCAGCGCTTAAATTTTCGAAGCAAAGATTCTTACAACTTTTCCCCGAGACACTTTGCAGGCGGCGATGACGGATTTGGAATTGCATTAAATTTTCTGACAGTGCACATCATTGGGACCCTCCCTCAGTATCACTATAACAAAATAGAAAGATACCAGTGGCTAACCGTGGTGCAGGTCTCAGAATTTTCAAAGGGTTTTTTCTTTAAACTACTTCAGTTATTCACGAGTAAAAAACAATTCATCTGCACAGTAGTATCCCTAATGAAAAGCTGGGGTGTAATCTTTTGATCACTGATCACCCCCACGGGGGTGATCAGCATGTTCGATTACCCCCCTGTGCAAAATCCCAGCCCCCTAGCTCAAATTTTGCAAAAAAGCGATAAAATCGATATCGATCGATAACGAAAAGTAGCCTATGACACGCTCCCTGCCCCGAAGTATATGTGTGCCAAGTTTGGTCCCGATCGGTTCAGAAATAAAAATTTCTATTCCGCACATACGTACAGACAGACATACAGACATACATACAGACATTCAGCTTTATATATAAGATAAAGCGCACATTTTCGTGGTCTGTGCCCCTGCCATTTTATAGGGCCTTTGGCGCTAAATACAGGGCGGGGGCTTCGGGGGGAGGGGGGGGGGGAGGAGACACGACTCAATGCCACAAGTGAACTCGTGAAAAATCAGCGAGAGGGATCCCGCACATATTCCATCTTGCGCCAATGTCGTTTTCCGCGTGCCTCCCGTCAAGCCTTTGCACAAAATTTTAGAAGCCGGCTCTTCATAGATAGGCGCCAGACTAAGCGACTATTTTGTTCAGCTGCAAAAGGCGCGCAGAATTAATGTCTGCTGCCGCTAACAAGGGAATGGTCAGAAATCGAAGTGGCCAATCCAGACAAACTGCATACCATTAGATGCAGCATGAAGCACTGACTCTAAATCTTCCTTATCCACTTATCGCTTTTCTGGGCGAAGCTATAAGCCACCAAAGGCCATTATTTTGCTAAGAAGTCATGCGTGAAAGTGAAAATCTAGCCGTACAGAGCCACGTTCGCCTTAATGCTGGGCCCTTGCAGCTAAGCTACTTCAAATTATTAAAGCCTGAAAATGAGCTAAAAGTGCAACAATGTGCTCAATTTCGCTGTTTTTATGTATGATTTTTTCACAATAAAACTGCTTGTAGCTTCGTCGAAGCGATAAGCATATAAGGAAGACAGATTCGAAGTCAACGTATTATACTGCATCTAATGATATACAGCTTCTTTGGTTTGGCCACTTCGACGACCATTCCCTTGTAAGGCCTGCTTCAGCTGCAGGTCCCGCGCAGAATTTTAATTCTCTGCGCCTTTTGCAGCTGAACAAAATATTCGCCTAGTCTGGCGCCTACCATAGATCTGTCACCGTAAGCAAAATGAGCCGTAAAATCGAATGCGTGTCTGCAACTACACTCATTATATTTTGCGCTCAAAACAGGATTTTTTCGTTTGCGCTTGCGCCGTAGACCATTTTTTTGCAGACGCAGGTGTTGAAAACGAAATTTGCAGCTAGAAACTTTCAAGTCGTTAGATCGAGTAAACGTTGAGAAGTTACGTTTGTTCTACGCGAGCATTGTCCGTAATTGGCAATCTCTCTGGCAGGTGATTAACAAAAACGGACGATAAACTTTCGGAAAGTATTGCATAGATGGGCAGGTCGCTTCAGATTTCTCAATCGATGCATCCATCTTTCAACCCCTTAATTTTTCACGCATCTTATAATGGTTGCTGTCTGCGACTCTTTTTATGCTGTATGCATTATTGGTGAAATCATCTCAAATTGCTTATTTCAGTGAAGAAAACCCGAGGAGCCCTAGACCGCTTCGTAGACGCTAAGACCATGCCTTTCTGGAGCAATCAGGTATTTTTCAATGAGGCGGAACCTCAAATATAAGACAAGTTGCTGATTTTTTTTCGAAGAAGTAATGCTCATGCGTGGTTTATAGTCATAGCGGCGGCCATCGTTTAGCCGTACTATATCTATCCTTTATCCTATGTGTTTGTGGATTGATGAGGTTTGGTAAGGTGGCACTTTTTTTGCATATTTGCTTACGAGTCGCGCGTCAAAAGCAGTTAAGATAGATGTTCCCAAAAAATGAGTTATTAGAGACATAATTTCACGCTAAAACAAACCTCATTTTGATATTTAGTATGGCAAAAATGTTAAGGCTATTTTATCGTAGCGTCGACTGAAATACATCCTCTTGCTTTTGCACGCTTTGTTATAATCACCAAATAGACTCTCAGGAAAGTGCTTCTGAACGAATATTTGTGTAAAATGCATCAGACGTTTGTTCCCGGATATAATTAAGTTTCACTGAGCGGCTTCCACCTCTGAGTTGGTGAAATTAAAAATTCTTGGGAATACGGAGACAGTGGGTCAATCACTGCCCAAGGTTGTGACCCATGGCTTCATTTTCGCGACCGTAACTTCTTGACTTTGAATTCCGCACGGTTTTTTGTCTGTATGTTTATTTAGGCCTGTTTTGTTGTTCACTTTTTGGAAATGAATTGCGAATATGTTCTTTGTTGAGCGTAGAATTTCTTCTTTCCATACAAAAAAATTGCTGTATTTTCGGGGAAACTATTGGTTGCTTGGGAGGTAGTATCGATCATCGGCTGTTACTCAACATCGCAGTATCATCAAGACGAATGGTAGTGAAAGGGGTACTGCCTTAGAGCAAAGCAAAGCCCTTAACTTGCTCGCTAATAATGTCACTTTCTGTAATTGAATGCGCGAAATTTTGACTTTTTTGTACTCAAACAATCATTTTGTTAAATTTAGTACAATTTGAGTATGTAAATTGTGGGGTGACTCTCTAGCTACTTATAGTGCCGCTGAGTAATGAACGTCGTCCATTGAGGCAGGTTACGCCTGCTGATTTGATGGATTTTTTCATTCGACTACCGATTTTGCTTAGCGCTAGATTTGTTGCTAGGGCAACCTTATGTTGAGCTGTCTTGTGGTGAGCTCGTTTAATCTCTGCCCAAGCAGAAGTTGAAGGCGCTTTCCCTCCATGAAACTTGTCTGTCATTGCATCTGGGGTGAGTTGGATATTAATTATATATTTTAGGATACGCGCAATGCTCTTATCTCCACCATGGTTCCCGCGGGAGCCGCACTTACCGCTTTCGCCGTATTCGCGAGGGACAAGGATGTTGTAAACTGGTGGCAGGTGAGATTTAAACTTTCTTATATTCAGGAGGTAATCCTTTTTTTACATGATTTTTTTCTTTCAGAACATAAAGAAGCCTAGCTGGGCTCCAAAGGATGTGCGCTTGTATTCCGTCATGGACATACTAGCGCTTGCACCTCTTGGGTATGCCTCTTACCTAGTATACAAAAATGGCGGAGGTCTGTTCCGGGTTTGCTTTGATTAATCACTGACAAACTTTATCCATTTTGAAGGTTTCGACTATACAGATACCCGTTTTGCATTGGGAATGTACGGTGCTAATATGGCACTCGCCTTGGCAACCATCCCATTTGTCAAGAAGAAGTGCTTGGGTTGTGTAAGTCTGTGAACTATATTTTTAACAGCGGAAGTGCATCCGCCTATAAATAACTTTTTATCTCAGTTTCTATTTTTTTGGCTTGGTTAACAATCATGTTGAAATGTGATCGGTTTTTTCGGAGTATTGCAACTCATTCACCCTGCTAACAAATATTTGCCTCAACTGGTGATTCTGTCCTTGTTTGTGCTTGATCGGAACCAAAATAGCAATAATCGTAGCTGGTAGAGTAGATGATAAGATTTAAAGCAACGTGGTTTGTGTTTTAGTTACGTTTGCTGCTCCGACAGGTTATAATCTCTACCCTACAGTATACTTTTTGTTAAATTTTGCTGTTGCAGTTGTGGAAGAACACCGCTCTCGTTCACTTAACCGCTGTTGGAACAGCCATTGCTTTCTACAAGGTAGATTTGGACTCCGCACCTGATACTTACTTATATATGCAAGTGTCTTTTTTGCAGATTGACCAGACAGCTGGATTGTGGATGGTCCCCTATGCTCTCTGGACTGGTTTCTATGCCATTCTCACATACTCTATCCATAGTGAAAACAAAGCGATCAAGGATATCTAAGTAATGTGCGACAAATGGGACTAATAGTTTGGCATGCCGTAACGCACGTTTTATTCATTGTTTCATTTCACCCTTGATACATTCTTCTCACCTTGTTAATTTGTATATAATCTCTGTGTTGCTTAGCTTTCAGGAGATCGCCATTTTTAAGGCTTTATGTTGCCCACTGAGGTCATTAGCTTAGTTTTAGTGTCATGTAATGTGAATAAAAGTTCCATCTCCTAGCTCAATACTGCTGACTCCGTCTTTTCGAAAATTTACTGTCCGCCTGTTTGCGGTCATGAACATAAACACGAGAAAAGCTGCTTCAGTTCCCACAAACGAGATCAACCAGTTTAGTCCGAGTAAGGACCATGAGTGTTGTTTTCAAAAAGGTTAGTAAATGGAAATAGCAATCTTTAATCTACTATTTTTCTTGATTGCTTCAAAGTTACGATGTTTGCAACTTCTTAAGGGGTCTTTGCGAATCAATCATATGTGGAAGCCGATGATAATTTTCGAAACTCATACTGACTTCGTCACTTATCGCACGAGTTGGTTGTTTTGTGGTAAACAGATTGTTCAAGTCATGAATTCTTGAGTCGGCGTGAATGACGTCAGTGTTCAGCTGTATGTTAACACATTGACGACGACGTGACCCACATGGTGGGTCATGCAATGACTGCCACGTGGGACAATGTGACCCACATGGTGGGTCACGGCTTGAATTTTATTAAAATGACCGCTATCTTGGACTACAATGGTTTTAGAATTTCTCTTACGCTCTGACCCTAGAAAATACTTTTGCGTTTCTCACCTGCTTCATAGGATTACTGTAGGTATACTGTAGTTGACGATATGCATGATTTTCGCTGAAAAAAATATGACTTAGCCGTAGAAGGCATTGTCCCACGAGGCAGACAACTCAAAATGCACATTGTCGTCAACGTGTTAATATCATTGTGAATTCCGGGGGGGGGGGGGGAGAGGGGAGAAGGGAATCACGGTCTTCCAACAAGTTTGGAAAGCGTCATAAGGTTGTGCGGTTGTGTGAAAATTTTAAAAAGGAGGCATCGCTGCAGTCTTGCAGCGGAAAGATTCTTTACATTTTCTACTTTTTCAAAAGCTTATCTTGAACATCTAGAAATGCAAAGATTGCTATCTAGGAAGGTGTACTATCAAAGTGCGCCACGAAGTGTGAATATGCGGAAAGGGTTTATGAGACATGGGAACAGTATTGATATGTGCATAACACTTCTGATGTCTATGCCAAAAAAGACTACAATTCGTTGTTATAAGTTAACGTCCGTGATCATTTCCGTAGGCCTCCTGTTTTTGCCAAGAGGTCCCACCGCATTCTTGAATGTAACCATAATTTTGTGTTATTCAGTATCAGTGAAGCGCAGCTATAGAGAAAACAACTAGTGGCATTTTCAGTGGCGCGTCCTATTATCTAAAATTTCAAGCCTATAACCTCGGGTCCTACGCGATAGTCTTTTAGGATGAAAGCGTTGAGAACGAAGATGTATGGGACGACACTGAGCTAATCAAGATGTACGAAGATTCTGTCAGTGCAACCTACGTAAGTCACAAGCCCTCTTCTGCAATAATTATTGAGTGAACGTCGTTACAGAGCAAACTTGGAGGCGCAGCTACATCGAAGGTGAGCAGTGTTACCTTGTGTTGCCATTTTGATATGCCTGCAGGATGTGTTTTCTGATGGGTTTGAAATTTTTTGATTCAAGAGCTGGTCTGTAGGCGATTCCTGCTTGGCTCGATATAGCGATGATGATCTCTTTTATCCGGCAAAAATTTTGGAAATACGTGAACAGAAAGGACCCTGTACGGAGTATCTAGTTCTTTACGAAGGTTATGGCAACTCTGAGTGGGTGTCGGCAGATGATCTCATGGTAGCTTCGTACGTGCTTTGTTTTTTTTTTTACTTAATTGAATGATGGCTTGCGTTCTATGTGTAGGAGCGAAGAAGGTTCACAAGACGATGGTAATATCACTATGGATAGTGCTCCGGACGACACGCTTGTTACAGAATCTGTGAGGGTCACCAAAGTCAAAAGAGGTTGGGACATGATAGATTATAATGATGACTGATCGTGAGTAATTTATACTACGTCCACATTGACCTTCGATTTTCCTAGAACGTCCGTCTCGAAAAACACCAAGCAGTTCAAGTAGGAACGGTCCAACGCGTCCGCATCCCTCCGTGAGTGTTATGTCATAAAAATTACTTGTAAGCGATGTCGCTTAGTAGTACATCTAGATCCCTTCAATAGCTCCGCCTCCACCCATGGTGATGCCCAGGCTAGCGGTTCCGGATGAGGCGGAGGCGTTGTCAAGTATGCTCATGGCTTGGTATATGAGCGGCTACCATACGGGATATTACCAGGTAAATTGAATCCGTATCTCTTGTTTTTTGGAGTACCTGACTATCTGCCTGACTTATCGCCAAGTTTTGCTGCCTTCTTGTCGAGACAGATGATTGACTTTTTGCCCAGTTGACTGCCTTAATGTACTGTTGAGAGAATATTGTTTTTGGCTGATTGCTCGCTCTTCTTCACCTGATATCTTCAGCATGCTGGCAAGTATCAGCCAGAAATGTGTACTTGTTTCATGTTGCTATCGAAAGCAGGTGCTCATCTTGCATACTTGGAGTTTCCAGGAATTAGCATTTTGCTGCATAAGATGGCTGAGTGGGAAATTTGCGAATGTAGATCCGGCATTGGTATCTGTTTGAGGGGAAAAGCTTTCTCCCGCTTACGAGTCATGGTGCCACATGAAAGTTATCCATTATGGATGCTAGAGAGCAAGCATGCGTGGACGTCCTGTCTGTATAAAATATGGTAGAGAGTTGAAGTTGTGAAGCAGATTAGTTTCTATCTTCTAAGCCAGTCACCATCGCTTTTTGTTTCTGTCGAATTCACACAAATTATATAGCGAAAAATTTGTCTTTTACTAATCACGCTTTTGTGAAAGTGCCTTTTGCGCCGTATGTAGGGGTTAATTTGAACTGACATTTTCTGTGAATCACTTACGAGCTTTGACAACTCAGCCAGGTTGCTGTAAGGCAAAATATTGCAACATATTCAAGAGCGAAAGTTGAGAAAAAAGGCTGCGTCAACCATCCTCTCGTTGGTGGGCGATGGCTCCCGCCCAATTGGCGAGACCCACAGTTGAAGGGCACTGAAACATTCGATTTTTGAAGCAGTGGTGGTGTTCATATATAAGGCTTTGGCCATACTTTGCCAGTGTTGCCGGTGTTGAAAGTGTTGAAAGTGTTGCCAGTGTTGAAAGTGTTGAAAGTGTTGCCGGTGTTGAAAGTGTTGAATGGAGATCATCAGTTTAGCAGTTTCATTCTTTCTCGAACTATCTCACCGGCTGGTGAATACGTTGGAAATGGAATTGGGGAATGAGAAATGAAATTGAAATGAGACGGGGAAGATTTTCGCATGCAAAGGATCCTCAAACAAACTTTTTGGAAAGTGGATGGCTTGTCTGGAATAGGCATTCTCCAATATTTGAAAAAGCTGAAGTCTGAGTAGTAATGTGTTTTAGTTCAAATCCTGCCGCGCTTGCGATTAGTGAGTGAAGGATCTAAGTGAGGTCTGCAGCGTTTTCAAATATTGGAGATTGCCTATTCCAGACAAGCCATCCACTTTCCAAAAAGTTTGTTTGAGGATCTTTTGCACGCGAAAATCTTCCCCATCTCATTTCAATTTCATTTCTCATTCCCCAATTCCATTTCCAACTATTCACCAGCCGGTGAGATCGTTCGAGAAAGAATGAAACTGCTAGACTGATGATCTCCATTCAACACTTTCAACACCGGCAACACTTTCAACACTTTCAACACTGGCAACACTTTCAACACTTTCAACACCGGCAACACTGGCGAAGTATGGCCAAAGCCTAAAGTCGGACTGCACCTTTGAAGATGCAAAAATTTTCCATCATCGCTTTTCACACACGTTTCTCAATTTTCATATGCCGATATCTGCTTTAAAGGCAGTGCGTCGGCAGAATGAGACCCGTGGCAAAACAAAGCCACAGGGCAGGAGCCCCCATAATGGAACCTATGGGCCAAAGTTCGATCTTTCTCTGCCACTTCTAACCCCCGAAATTTCAAAGCGAAAGAAGGGCTCATCTCCTGTCCTCTCCGAACCCGCCCACCACATGGACGAGTGAACGCGGAGCCCGTCATGGCGAAGACGCAGAGTCGTTGCGGGACCTCATGCTTATAGCATTGCGGCTGGCGCTCTGACCGTGGAAGTCACTCGTCCATGGGATGGGCGGGTTCGGAGAGAACAGGAGATGAGCGCTGCTTTCGCTTTGAAATTTCGGGGGTTAGAAGTGGCAGAGAAAGACCGAACTTTGACCCGTAGGTTCCATTACGGGGGCTCCTACCCTGTGACCTTCTTTTGCCACGGGTCTCATTCTGCCGACGCACTGCCTTTAAGCATCACGAGTTAAATAAGTGCGATGTTAAAATTCTGTTGGACGCTCTTTTTAGAATACAGGAAATTATCAAGTATGTTTCAAAGTAAAGAGTGTCGCTAAGGCGGACTCTTGCAGCCTCTGATAACTTTTTGAACAATGGGACTTACATGTGAAGAATGAACATTTCTGGAAATAGGTTTTAGTTAGTTTTTCACATCTTCGTTTCTGTATTACTCGCGCATTACTAACCCACGAATTTTGGGATACGGCAGAAGTAGCTACCTGAATAGAAGAGTGAACTCAATTTATGCGTACGTTATGGAAAAGAATCTTGAATTTCAAGTTTCAGTTACATTTCTGAATTCCTATCTAAATAAACTCGCTCTACTTACCGCGTTCTCAGATCGTTTGCTTAGCACGAGACTGACCCATTCTGTTTTTCATCCTCTCTTCCTAAATACATCTACAGCAATTATCACCTACCACTACTAAGGGATCGTTCAGACCGCGCCTGTACCCGCCCAAATACGCCCAAATACGCCCGAATACGTCCAAATACGTCCAAATACGCCCAAATACGTCCGAATACGCCCAAATACGTCCGAATACGTCCAAATACGTCCGAATACGCCCAAACCCGCCCGAACGCCGAAACTGCCAATGCGCAGCAAATTGCATGCAAATTGGCATATTGGAGCACGCGTGGAATACTGCGTGCGTGGTGCATATATGGTAGCCACACGTAGCTCGACGTTACATACCGATTTTCATATGCGACTAGCGGGATTACAAGGATCAATCGACTTTGCGTCTGTTTTTATTTCTTCTCATGTTTGCTGACTCTAGGTGAGTTCTAACTTTCGTGCTGTGCGTTTTCTTTTCTTTTGAGCATGACGATCTTGTTGAGGTAATGCTTTGTTCTGTCTATGAGTCATTTCTTTCCATATTGATCTGGTGCAATAGAAAGGCCCGGTCTTTGCTCAAAAGCGCCCAAATTTTTCTGTCTTTCTCTGGAGGAGAGATAGGAGTGAAGAGAGATTCAAAAAACTTGAGCGCTTTCGGGCGCTTTTGAGCGAAGTCTGGCCGGGGCCGAAGAGGTATTCTAGTCATCTTTACGCGTCAGGCATACTGTCCCTGTAAAGTATAAACAAAAAGTTGACAACGCACGTAGTTAGAAAACAGACAAAGAAAATGTGCATATTCTACTCATTCCAGATCAATATGGAAAGAAATGACTCATAGAACAGAACAAAGCATTACCTCAACAAGATCGTCATGCTCAAAAGAAAAGAAAACGCACAGCACGAAAGTTAGAACTCACCTAGAGTCAGCAAACATGAGAAGAAATAAAAACAGACGCAAAGTCGATTGATCTTTGTAATCCCGCTAGTCGCATATGAAAATCGGTATGCAACGTCGAGCTACGTGTGGCTACCATATATGCACCACGCACGCAGTATTCCACGCGTGCTCCAATATGCCAATTTGCATGCAATTTGCTGCGCATTGGCAGTTTCGGCGTTCGGGCGGGTTTGGGCGTATTTGGACGTATTTGGACGTATTCGGACGTATTTGGACGTATTTGGACGTATTCGGACGTATTTGGGCGTATTTGGACGTATTTGGGCGTATTTGGGCGGGTACAGGCGCGGTCTGAACGATCCCTAAGGGAAGCGTGTATAGTCGAAGTGGCCTTTTGAGATGGGACCCATACTGCTTTGAAGGGTATTGCGAGGTGATTCCAAATCTCCCTTCCAAATCTGCCAAGCGCCTCTGGACGCCGAGTTATGACCGTTCTACGGAACGAAAAATGAATGCAGAATTTAGGTAAAATTGTTTGTTACAATCTTTCCAGCGCTCAGATAAAGCAATGTTAAGTATTAGCATATTAAACAAAATGTACCCATTGCATAAACAGCTCTTATACTTGACATGGACCATTTGAGCAAATATGGGCGATTTGCCTTCAGTTTTGCGTTCAATTTTTTGACCTGAAAATGAGCATAACTCGGCGTCCAGAGGCGCTTGGCAGATTTGGAAAGCAGATTTGAAATCACCGCTTAAAGGCAGTGTCCGGGCAAAAACTCGTTCTCGAGATTTTGCTTACCCGGGCCTATTTGCTACGCTGAATCCGAAAATGCACATTGGAGAGCGCGTAAACGGCGAAAAACGGCTCTAACACGGGAAATCAGCAGGTGGGCGGGGTCCTCCTCACTGTGAATTCACGCTTCCAGCTTCCAGAGCGATCTTCTCGGTTCCGATTTCAAGCCATGCATTCGCACCTGGCCGCTCGAGATCTCAGGGCGCTAGAGGAATTGTAAAGATCGCTCCAGAAGCTGGGACTGCGAAATTCACAGCGGGGAGGACCCCGCCCACTTTCGATTTCCCTCCTCCGTTAGAGCCCTTTTTTGCCGTTTTTGCGCTTTCCAATGTGGATTTTCGGATTCAGCATAGTGAATAGGCCCGGGTAAGCACAAAATCTCAAAATCGACTTTTTGCCCGGACACTGCCTTTAATGCTCTCCAAAGCTGGGTCTCATCTGGAAAGGCCACTTCGACTAGACACGTTCCCTTGTTAGTTGATAATCTTCCCGAGATAGTTTAGTAGAAGTTACATAGAGGAAAAACCTGTACTACAAGAAATTTTCTGAGCGTACCAAAACTTACGCTTTTTTCTGTATGATGAGTGCACGTGAGGTTGGTTTTCGTGATGTTATGAGACTTGATTGACGGCGATTGTTGTTTTGGTTCAACGCAACGGCTGTATAGTATGAGATTGAATAGAGTGCCGAGCAAACAGCAGAACAAGAGGGTGCGGGGGGTGGTTGATGAAGCGTTTCTGGTCGGTGGTGATGCTATTTACAAAATTCACACGTTTCGAGATTTAGAGTGAAAATTTATTGCTGTTGCTGAATGCCAGTGGTGACTTAGAATTTACTTGGCAGTATTTGTGTATTGGCAGGGGGGGGGGAGGGCTAACTAAGTGATGATATATCTAGAACTATTGAAAAACTGCTATTTATTATGATTATCTGATTTTCGACATCTCTTCCCTAACTAGGCCGAAATTTTTTGTATCAACGAAAACAGCTGCAATTTTGATTATCAAGACCTATCTATCTGATACCCACCTTTGGATTCGTTCTCTTGTCAGTGAAGCCCACCGTTGCAGATTCTACCTTCTGGAGCAACTTCTACTTTGTTCATTTTTGAGCTGAGTGATTACCTAGTTAGGGGGCCGGCTATCACACAGCATCAAAACCTCATTACCGTGAATTTGAGTGAACGCTTCTGAACTTCCACCATTCAATGATTTGTGGGGGTAGGTTAAAGCACTTGCAAGTTAACGGCGTTGCGTTTCTTTGTAATCCTGGTGCCAGTGGTATATTATTCAATCGGTACGCATCTGTCGATGCTTTACATAACAGCCAACATCAAATATCGATAAACCATGATTGCACATCAATGATTACCGCATCAAACCAGCTTGTTTCTGATCTGTGAATGCTGTATTTCAGGCTATCAGGGACATGAATGCCAACAACTGACTGTTATCCCTTCGATTTTATTGTTTTGTTCGTCGTTTTATTCACTTATGATGGAGTCTTACACAATAAAGTTTGATCTTGTATCTCGTTTGTAGTAACAATGAAGTAAGAGTAAATCGGTGTTATCCATCGTAGAGTCTGTTTTTGGATACCATCTCAGTGCATCGAGTTACTTAGTTCATCAAATAGTAATCGAGCTTTTAAAGGCATCGTCCACTCAGATTCTCGACTTCCAGATTTATGTCGTTTCAGGGCCTTCTCATGTCCTTGATTTCAAATATGAAGTTGAGAATCCGCGAAAACCCGACAATCCCCATTCTGGAAACCCACAGGCCGGCTTTCCGGAACGGTGATTGGATGGGCGCGCACAAATGGGCGGGCGCAGATAGGGAGGGGCGGGCATGGATGGGGTCCTCGTGCATCTTCGTTATTCCGGAGCGATTTTCTTGCTTCCGAAGCGACATTTTGCGCCGCGACTTAGGCCTTGGCTTGATAGGGAGCCCTACTATCATAAGTGCCAAAAGCTCAAAACCCCCAATTTAGGGTGGGGTGTTTTTGATGTCCTAATATGACGTAGGGCACGAGCTGGAACGAGTTTTCGATACGGAATCTCGTTATAATTTTAGTAATTATACAAATTCCCCTCTGATTTTCAGAACCCTCTTTCTGCACAGGCACCTTGGGAAACCCAATTTATCTTACTTATTTCTGCGACTTGCTTAAAGGCACCGTCCACCCAAAATTTCGACCTCCTGTTTTTGCCGTTCCAGGGCCTTCTCATACCCCTGATTCCTGGGGATAATGTGTTCCTACCCCCTTCACCCTTGGGCCGGAACCCAGTGATCCCCCTTCATCCTTCCCGGCCGATGATTAACTGGAAGATTTGAGACCAAGAAATTAACATTTTAAGCAAAATTAGAAACAATCGGCATTGATAAAACTAAATTTCGTGACATGTCGATTCTCAATATTATTATTATAATTATCAAAAACTTATTTGCAGGTTTACTGAGAAGTAGTCGGAAATTCGCCGCCTATTGTTCACCACTAGAGTATGACGAAAAAGCTTGAAGAAAAATTTACGTATGAAGCCTTCGTGTATATATGTCAGTGAAGTTACTCACGTATTTTCTGAAATAATAAGCGAAATGATAGATGAACTTTGATGATCGGTGCGCAGTTGAATTGCTTTTTTGAAGAGGAATGAATTTTCTAAGCAGATGGCGGAATCCGTGAAAAGTCATTGACTGGTTCCTTATAGAGTCATTGTTCCAACTTTTAATATTATTTCTAAACTCTGACAGAAATTCTAACTTTTGCGTATAGAAGAAGTTGCAACTAAGGGCATGTATCACATCGAAGAATTAGTGTGTAATTAGGGTTAGTGTTACTGTCAAAATGCAATAGCTACGAGGATCGTGGAGTTCTACAATCCGCCTACTTGGACGATGATATGGATAAGGAAGGACAACGAGAAGTACATTGCTCTACATTGGAGCACTATACAAGAAGAGGAGGACAATCATAGATGATTACTGGCGCTTGAGTATTCTGGAAAAATTTTGTTTTCCATCGAAGAATATTGAGAAACTCAAAAGATCTTAGGAGGAAAATCAGTCATAATTGACCTAGTCTAATTTGAAAGTTCAGTTTCCATCCGCTTTCAGAAAACATACAGCTTGACAGAAAAAAGAGGGATTTTTCCTGCTAGGTAGAGATAGTTTAGGTCATTCTTTCAAAATTGACTAATTTTTCTATAAAAAATTGTGACTGTTCCATATGAGAAGATAGAAGAGTCTCTAGCTGTACATTGAATTACTCTTGTTGAAAGCTTTCATAAAACATATAGCTTGTTAGGAAAGAAAGGACTTTCCTGTAAGGTGAACATGGTCGTAATTGTTTTTTTAGAATTGAGGAAACTTTTTTATAAAAATTTATAACCTTAACATATGAAAAGCTACAAGAGTCTCTTGCACTTCGTTGGAATTCTCTCGTCGTCCGCTTTCTGAAAATATGTAGGTTACCAGGAAAAAAGGTGATTTTTCTACCGGGTGAAAGGGGTCATAGCCGTTTCTCCGGAATTAAGCCAATTTTTAATTAAAAAAATTATAACATTTTTATTTGAGAAGCTGGGAGGGTGTTTAGGTGTTCGTTGTACTCCTCTCGTCGTTCGCTTTCAGAAAATGTATAGGTTGTGGGGAGAGGGATGGTAAAAGTACGTGGTGAAAGGGGAGGTAACATGGTATAATGGAAATGTTCCTTGCTGTACTCCAAAAGCGTCGTTTTAAGGAGCTAAAGGAACATGCCTATTATACCATGTTCCCTCCCCTTTCACCACGTACTTTTAGCATCCCTCTCCCCACAACCTATATATTTTCAGAAAGCGGATGACGAGAGGATTCCAACGAAGTGCAAGAGACTCTTGTAGCTTTTCATATATAAAGTTATAAATTTTTATAAAAAAAATTTCCTTAATTCTTGAAAAAACAGACCACATTCACCCTACAGGAAAGTCCTTTCTTTCCTAACAAGCTATATGTTTTCTGAAAGCTTTCAACAAGATAATTCAATGTATAACTAGAGACTTTTCTATCTTCTCTATGGAACAGTTACAATTTTTATAGAAAAATTAGTCACTTTTAAAAATGACCTAAACCATTTCTACCTAGCAGGAAAAATCCCTCTTTTTTTCTGGCAAGCTGTACGTTTTCTGAAAGCGGATGGAAACTAAACTTTCAAATTAGACTAGGTCAATTATGACTGATTTTCCTCCTAAGATCTTTTAAGTTTCTCAATCTTCTTCGATGGAAAACAAAATTTTTCCAGAATAATCAAGCGCCAGTAATCATTTACGATTGTCCTCCTCTTCTTGTATAGTGCTCCAACGTAGAACAATGTACTTCACGCTGTCCTTCCTCATCCATATCATCGTCCAAGTAGGCGGATTGTAGAACTCCACGATCTTCGTAGCTATTGCATTTTGACAGTAAGACTAACCCTAATTACACTAAGTCTTCGATGTAATGCCCTTAGTATCACCTTCTTCTCTACGCAAACGTTAGGATCTCTGTCAGAGTTTAGAAATAATGTTAAAAGTTGGAACAATGACTCTAAAAGGAATCAGTCAATGACTTTTCACGGATTCCGTCATCTGCTTAGAAAATTCATTCCTCTTCAAAAAAATGCAATTCACTGCGCACCAATCTCAAAGCTCATCTATCATTTCACTCATTATTTCAGCAAATACGTGAGTAACTTCATTGACATATATACACGAAGGCTTCACGCCTAAATATTCCTTCAAGCTTTTTCGTCATTCTCTAGAAGTGAACAATAGTTGGCAAATTTCCGACGTACTTCTCAGTAAACCTGCAAATAAGTTTTTGATAATCATAATAATAATATTGAGAATCAACATGTCACTGAATTTGATCTTGAGAGCCGATAGTTTTATAATTTTGCTCAAAATGTCGACGATTTCTTAGTCTCACTCCTTCCAGTTTACCTTCTTCGAATTTATTTATTTATTTATTTATCAATATACACACAAGGGTGCACCGACAAAAACCAGGGCTTGGCTAACCAATTTGACTCTAGACGAACGAATTCGTCTGAGACCCTGGGCGAGTGGGAGGGGGGATCTCAAGGTAGAGGGCTCGCCAACGTCGGAACTCCTTAAACGGCTAGTCCACGCGAAGAGACTAACCCGGTGCTGATCGGTAGAACATCAGGCGGAAAGATTTACAGAAAAAGGCAAAAATTCACCAGTAAACTACGCCGAAGGCATAGCAATTATATTTTTTTTCCTGTTTCAACAAAAGTTGCTGTCTAGAGTGAAGAAAAAAAAACTCTCAAAAAATTCAAAAAACGCTAAAATAAACTCGAAAAACTACTAAGAGTGTAGACAACTTGCGGTCATACACCCCTAAACGTCGGAAATTCCCAAAGTCCCCAAAACATTGATAGAAGCCAGATTTCTGCGAAATTTTGCAGAAGTTTCGCAGGAGGTAATCTCTCTTGGTAATAGCTCAATCCATCTGGCTGTCCGACACACAAAAGAATTGAAGGCGACAGAGACTATCCTACTGCCTAATTTTCGGTAGCATAAACCCAGATCTCCTGTCCGAGTACCGCAAGGTCTAAAAATCCAGTAATTGCTAGGTTGTAACCTAGTCTCCAGTTTTAGAATGCGGAAGCAAAAAACCAAGTCGTTAAAAACCCGTCTATACTTTAGACTATGAAGTCCCAAGGCTATAAGCCTTGATCTATAAGAGGGTAACGATTGAGGGTAGTTCGGTTTTTGGTAACACCTGTAGAAGACAATTCTGGTAAAAGTTTTTTGCACCTTTTCAAGTTTTTCGGTGTTCTTCCTCAAATCGGAGTTCCAAACTGGAGATGCGTATTCTAAAAGTGGTAAGATATAGGTCTTGTAAACTCGGACTAGGAGGACGGCAGTGGCGTACCCAGGATTTCGGTTCGGGGGGGGGGGCGCGACAAAAATTTTTTTCTAATGAAGGTGCGTGGCGTCAGCCACGCACTCCGAAAATTTTTTTGGGACGTTTCCCAAAATTTTTCCGGGCCCTTGACCCCAAAATTTCAGAAAAAGGGGGGCGTGGCTACCGCCACGCCCCCGAAAAAATTTTTTTTATAAAGCTAATTTGAATTTTTAAAATTTTTTAAAAATTATTTTAATTATTTAAAATTAAAACGAGTCCTCTGGCACATTTTATAACACATTTAAGTAACTTTCAAAAATTTCGCGACCCATTCTCGGGGGGGGGGGGCGCCCCCCCCCCCCCCCCCCCCCGCCCCCCCCCTCGGTACGCCACTGGAGGACGGGATCATTACTATGAATGCTCCTTAATATAACAAAAAGAGTTGATAAAGCTTTTCTGGTAACTGAGTCATAGTGTGCGGTAAACTTTAGCTGGTCATCAACCAAAACACCTAAATCTTTGGTAACACTGCATAGCTCAAGTTCAACACCGTCACAGAGGTATGTGCGCGACGGGTGGAATTTGCCAAGATGCAAAACTTTCGATTTGAGTGCGTTAACAGGTAAGTCCCACTCCTTAGACCACATGATCATTTTTTCTGAATAGCATTTGAGAT